TCGAATTCCAATCGGTTTCATTACCTTCACTTACCGTGCTAATATCTGTGAGGAAAGGTATGTGCACCAGTTCAAAACGTGTGGTTAGTTCTGCACAAGCCTTCGCCACTATAATCAAATGATATGTGCGTGTTGTCTGGCTGTTGGTTCTAAGAACTGAGCTGCTTGACCCATATACGTTGAAAATGAGTCCTATATATATATATATATATATATATATATATATATATATATATATATATATATATATATATGAAAAGTGTATATAAATATAAATAATAATAACTTATTAGAAAGCGCATATGGGTTTGTCTGACGATCGCTAAAGCGTGAAACCCAGGGCCACAAACTCACATCTATCCAACCATATATATATATATATATATATATATATATATATATATATATATATATATATATATATATATATATATATATATATATATATATATATATATATATGTATGTATATATATGTATTAATTAGTACAAATACGTACCTACGGATGGGGTACGACTATAGTTTCACTGGCGAAACTATAGTCGCAAACCAAAACATAGGTACATGTACAGGTACTAATTAATACATACATGCATGCATACACACACATATATATATATATATATATATATATATATATATATATATATATATATATATATATACCAATTAATATATATCTTTGCACTGTATAACGGCATTGAGCATTATTACGTTTACACCTCATGCATAAATTTAACGATTATTTATTTGCTTACCTGCGTATGCACATCAGCACACGCGTACACGCCTGCTTATATTTGCCCGTTTCATTTATCCACTCTACAACTACACACACACACACACACACACACACACACACACACACACATATATATATATATATATATATATATATATATTAGTGGATAATGCATTAAATGCATGAAACTCCGACTAGTAATGTTATCGACGTTGGATATTATGTTATATTTACTTATATATACTTATAGCTCTGTTTCATAACATTGAGCACTGTATTTATAACACCTTAGAAATAAATATACTTAAGTACGTGTAAGTAATTGCGCTTATACGTAAATTTTATCCTACCCATTCCTACACACACACACACACACACACACACATATATATATATATATATATATATATATACATGTGTGTGTGCAAATATATTGAGAAATAGGAAAGAACCGTTAGCTTAATAATCCGAAGTTCTTTAATATTTTTGTTTTTATTTTTCAAAAAACAGTGCTCGATACACAAGTAGAACCTATCTTATAACTATCTAAAAAAAAAAAAATATGATTCCATCGCTACATAAGAATTACCATGTTACAAAGACAGAAGCAGAAAAGGTCGAATTCAATTATAGATATGGTAATAAAATTGTAATTCCTATGTAGCTATAGAATCATATTTTTTTTAAATTTATTATAATATGTACATATAACCTTAAAGAGACAAAGATCTATTCAGTTTCTAATACTTTCTCACGAAGCGGACACGATCTTCAGAAAACCTTAAAAACTTTACAGTTTACAGTGTTTCCAACATTGTTTCTGGTTAAGATTATTTCTTCTTTGGATTTTTCCGCTTCACTGTAATAGTGTATAGTTCATGTAGGTTTCTTGGCTTTTACTCTCTGTAATATAGGTTGATATAGAAGACATCCATAAAGTCTGTACAATTTAAAAAATATATTAGAAAGGCAAGTGATGAGATATCTTAATTAGATTTGTTCTATGTACTCACTAGTTATTAATCACATTGCATTTGTACAATTCAGGTTTCCTATTGATGAAAAGAGTACTGTTAAATGATTCCCTAAAAATGACTACTCCTCAAGAAAAAGCATAATGTGTGTCATGGCTTATTGAATCAAAATTAGATTCGCAGACTCAGCGAAACTACAGAACTAAGTTGGGAAGAGATCCCCCGCCACGCCCATCAATTCGTGTATGGCACAAGAAATTTATGGAGACAGGAACAGTGTTGTCTAAAGAGAAGAGTAGACGACTATGAACATATGAGGAAAACATCGATCATATAAATCGAGTACCGTCTTGATGTGGTTCCTGCAACTAATGGTGCTCATATAGAGGTGTATTAAATTAGTTAAAAGGATTAGATATCTACTTATCATTTTGTAACAATTTTCACATATTTGTCTGTTCATTCGGTTTTGTAATAAATTTGTTTAATTATAAAGACACTTTATGTACACACACGCACACAAACACACACACACACACACACTATATATATATATATATATATATATATATATATAAATATATATATATTTGAAGTGCGTGTATTTTGGCAGCAAATTTTCATCCAAACCCGTTTCCTTAAATAATTTAGACACGTTCTGTCTACTTATTTTCGATAGGATCCTTTCATATTCGCGAATAAGCTTTTTTGTACAGTTGTTAAAAGACGAGAGGAAAACATCGTGTTGGCTCATATTGTATTTATTTCCGAGTACTTTCGACATACCATAATATCATCATCAGGGTATTGTTAAATATAGAGTAAGTATTTCGTGTCCTTGGTTGTGAAAGACAAAAATTGTTGTGGCTATCCGAAGATTACAATTTTTATATGTGGGATTAGGAACGCTGGTTGACAGACACCGTTTAAGGGGAGATAACTAGGTAAGCTGTGGAAAAAATCCGTACTTGAGTAATTGCTAGATAAATGAAAAACTATTAATGGGGTTTGGTTTTTTTTATATAATTAGCTTAACTCGTCAGGGGTTAAATGCGGTTGCTGAAATTTTTTCTTCGTCACTTTAAACAAATTCAAATAACTAAGCATCAAACTTTTGAAAATGACTTCATATTTTAGCACCTTAAACAAAACACACACACACACACACACACACACACACACACACACACACACACACACAGATATAAATATATATGCACTTAAATGTAGAAACTTTCATATATAACTACATCCGTGCATACACGCACACATATATATTTAAATATACAAATTTAAATTCATATATACTAGAGCATACAGCACCCAGTGAGTATTCAAATCACATCTTCTTTTCGTAGGCGATCAAGGCACATCTTTCTGTCCCTCTTAGCTCTTAATAATGTTTGTCTTTTTTGTTATTTCTACTAAACCCTCTTCTCTCATTCATTTGCTCAAGCCCATCAAGTATGTTACACACAACTTTCCTCTGTCCAATTTTCCCTCAATCTGTCCTTTGAGTATCAGATTTTCCAAGCCTTCCTTCCTCATTACGTTCCTAAGAAATTCCAACTACCTTTTCCTGATATTATGTATAAGTTTCCTTTTTGTCTCCATTATCTCCAAAACCTGGTTGTGGCTCACATGTTCGGCATATGATATCCTCGGCATCTTTCTTCAAGTATCTTCTTCATCTTTGAGGAGATAGTCCAGCATCCGCTCCCATACAGGAGGATAAATATGGCGCAACATTTCAGTTTTTTTTTTTTCTTTGTTTCCAACGAAACTCAGTCGTAATTGATCTAGCAAGACAAGCTAGTTGAAGTGCCGACTTTATATATATATATATATATATATATATATATATATATATATATAGATAACTAGACTCGTTTCGAAAAACCCTCGAATTTTTGATTTGCTAATCAAATCAATCTCGAGGAAAAAAAGGTTTTAAAAAAGAAAGAGCTACAAACATGAACTTCTGCCGACAAAAAATCGCACAGATGCAGGTCTGAAGCCCAAAAAAAAAAACCCCTGATACGAGTAACAACTAACTAACAAAAAGAGCTCAATATAACCGTAGAGCAGACCCAGATACACCTAGTGAGCCAGAGAAACGCACCCAGGCCTGGGTGGGTTTGTCTGGCTCACTAGGTGTATCTATATATATATATATATATATATATATATATATATATATATATATATATATATATATTTAGCAGCATGGCCGGTGTTGCCCGTGCTTGATTCAAAAAAACGTACGACTCATATAGCAATCACTATCACTTGACTTAAAATATTTTTGCCTTTCCTTGCCTTTTTTTTTTTAAAGGAGTGACTTTGCCGTGCTGATGTTGTTACATGCCTTACTTCTTGCCTATCTCACACTGCGAATTTTTTCTAAGCTCTATACTAAACATTAAATCTGTTACGAAAAAAAGAACTAAACAAAATGAACACAAAACGATCAGCTTTAAAAAAGGACTCGTAACTGGAAAAACCGAATGAAAAAAGAATGTTAACAACAAATACTTTTTCACACCCAACCCAGTCCTGCGGAATCAGAATTAACGTTGAGTTTAAGCAAGCGAATGAGCCAATTGGAGTAAAGTACCATGCAGATTTAAATTTTTCCCACTTGTCACGAATGCAGCTATCTTTTCTTCTTTTTTTTTCTTTTTTTGCATGTTAGCATGCTAGTTAACATTCGTGTCAGTCAGCTGTTAGCTCTCACGCTGGCCAATAGAATCTTCCTGGCTATTCGTTGCAGCCAGCTATAATCTCTCACTCTGGCCAGTAGAAAATGGCCGCAAACTACATGAAAACTGCCGTAGAAGCATGAAAAAATCGATTATTTCCACTATCGACAGAAGTTGGGAAATGCAAAGTCAGTCTTGGCCTTCCCGCTAACTTGGAGCATGTGCATGTAAATTTTGGTGCAAATCCGTCGAAAATTGCGGCCGTGCATTCGTTACACACACACACACACACACACACACACACACACACACACATCCTGCCTTTATATATATATATATATATATATATATATATATATATATATATAGATAGATAGATAGATAGATAGATATGAACTTAAATGTAGAATTGTTCATACATAACTACATCCATTCATACATGCAAATATATATATTAAATATACGAATATAAATCCATATATACTAAAATGCATATTCTCAATATATATATATATATATATATATATATATATATATGCATTTTTATTTTTCTTAGCTCTTGCTTTATCTTGGGCGTAGGTATGTGTGGACAGTTGATGAAGCTTGGCTCGCAATATTGCCAGTGTGGTGGTCTGGGTATTGGCAGTGTTGTCCGATGCGCTCTGAGAGGTCCAGGGTGTGAGCATTAACGGGTATGCGTGGAAGGAATTAACGTAAGTTTTTCGAGGTCTGTCGGGTTCGGGTGAGGCCAAGGCGCTAGACACTAATCAATGAAGACGCCCGCTACGTTTATCTAAATGGCGTGAACAATCATAAAAATTCGACAATCTTTCCTTTGCCGTCTTTTTCTTGTCGTTCTCGCAGATTTCCTTTCTCGTTTTAGAATAACTTTCTTCATTTCATTCTTTTATCTCTTTATCTCTTTCTTTTTCTCTTCCTCTCCCCCTCGCTCTCTTTCTCTCTTCCTCTCTCTTTTTTCCCTGTCTCTCTTTCTCCTTTTTCCCCCCTCTCTCTCTCTCTGTTTTGTGTGTGTGTTTTGCAATATTAAATTATACGCTTATTTTTGGATATTCTTTTCTTTTTTTAAATTTCACTTACGTTTTCTCTCCGCTCTGCCGATTTGTAAGAAGTCTTTCTTTCTCTATTTCTTTCGTTTTCTTCTTTTTTTTTTTTTTATTTAACTGATAAATTTTTTTCTTCATTCTCATTTTTTCTGTATTTTATTTTAGCACTATTTATTTCGGGAAATTCTTTTTTGCCTTCAAACTTATTCTTTCTTATATTTTTTAAAAAAAAAAAACATTTTTTATGATATTGCACTTATTCAGTTTTGACACCAGAATACTTTCGTAACTTTTGCTAGAGATCAAGTAACAGCACGTCATCACAATACTGAAAACACTTACTTAAATATTTTATTTTATTTATTTTCTCTCTGGTGATTTTCAACAAAGATCATGTGAGAAAAGGTTTCAATAATATAGTAGTACCTTCAGTATTTCGAGTACCCTTGTATATCTATTCATTACTCTCTCTCTCTCTCTCTCTCTCCCTCCCTCTCTCTATCTCTCTCTAGATAAACTCTCCCATCGTCTTCAATGAATAAGGGTCCAACAATACAGTTTTTAGAACTGAAGAGCCAGGCAGTTTGTCACATATGATTTGATTATAATAGTAAAGCCTTCTGTATTGGCAGCGAATTCTGGACAATCTCCACGAAGATATATAAAAGACTTGAACAACAGAAATGTGGCTCTACAGAAAGATACTGAGGATACCATAGCCCATACATGTTAGTAAAGGCAAGATTTTGGAAAGAATGGAAACAAAGATGCAACTTATACTTAACATCAGGAAGAGGCAGTTGAAATATCTGGGACAGGTAATGAGGAAGAAAGTTTTGGAAAATCTGATACTCACAGGAAAGATAGACGGACACAGGAAAGCAACACGTAAGATATTTGATGGGGTTGAGAAAATGGAGGACAGAAGAGGTTTTGGGAGAAATAATAAAAAGAAAAAAATTTTAAGAGCTACAAGGAACAGGAGGAAGTGGCAGGCCATAATCGTCTACGTCCTAAAGGGACATGACACATAAAAGAAGGTAATGGCTTGTGTAGAACCAACCACACTTTTCGGAAGAACCGGATACAGAGAACTGGTGTATAGATTGTATCACAAGGTCCTCCACAGGTTTAAATTCCTAATTTTTCTTCTCGTAGACAAGTTGCCAGTCAAGGTTAAAGAGTCCATCTTGTCTTATTATTTAACTCATAGCTGGTGGTGGGAGTGAAAAATATAGATACATACGTTAGCGCGTAAATGAATGTAACGATCTCGACTAGAATTAGAAACTCGTCTCTCCAATTTCTTATTCCGTGCCAATATCTATTCCACCACCCGGTACGTGCACCACAGCCAAATATTTACGACATTGCGAAAGGCTTTAATAAAAGCGCCGTATACCCTTGGGGGTGGGGCTTAATTAGAAATAGCTTAATAAGCTGTCTCATCCTTCTAAGCTGTCTTATCCTTCAAACTTGAAAAAAAAATCCTTTTAGCTGCCGGCTATGATTCTCCCTCAATACTCCCCCTCATGAACAGATATGCACATTGCGTCCAACTGGTCACAGTCAAGAAACTGACTAGCAAATCTGTGGTACCGAACGGGATATTTACTATAGCTCATCTTCAGTCACTAAAGCGCAATTTGTTCATACCTCCAATCATTTAACATCCAAATCCAGGAGTTTCCTGTCTGGTGTAATTATCAGGCCATTTTTTTTATTCTTTTATTTTATATTTATTATTATTATAATTATTATTATTATTATTATTATTATTATTATTTTCCTTTGATTTCTGTTGTATATACTTTTCCCTCCGGATCCCAACCAGAGACCTAAAGTTAGAAACCGCTTCATGATATTTTCCACTTATCATTTTTTGTATAAAAAAAAGCCGAAGATTACACACATTTTACATTGATAAATCTCTTCGTAATGTATAAGTCGTACTTGTGAGTACAATGTTTTGTATTTCTTTAAGTAACAGGTATCTCTTCAATGAATCAATTGGAACATTTTCCAATCAATCTAAGTGTTCCAACTACCACTGGAATTATTGATGTCTTCATATTTTTTAGATTTCCACTTCAAGATCCTTGTATTTTGAGAGTTTTTGAACTTCTTCATTATTATTATTATTATTATCATCATCATCAATACTACTACTAATAATAATAATGATAATATTTACTTTCCCCAAATTCAAAAGTATTAATGGATTTTTCTTTCGTGGGAACAGGTTTCTTGAATTCTTCAACACTTTCTTTAGTATTCTTACTGATTTTAGAAATAAGGATATCTTGATAGAATTTCTTCTTCGGTATCATTCCAACTTTTCCAATAATGCAATGATGGTGCAACTGTCATCTTTATGTTCTACATTTTCTTTTTAATTCTTTTTCACTGTTCAGGAATTTGTTCAGTTTTTCAAACTCTTTCAGTTTTACTTCGTCGTCTGCTGGAACAGCGACATCTACTGACAAACCTTCTTTTTTTTTTTTTTTTTTTTTTTTTGCTTTGTTCTGTTCTCCTGGCCTGGATTGGGGGATCAGTTTCAATAGTTTTATTTTTATGTTTTCAATCTAGTATTTAACTTTTGACATTATTTGCTTGACTGGTGTAAGAAGTGTTTCGTGTGTACGCGCGCGCGCGCGTGTGTGTGTGCGTGTGTGTGTTCTTTCATTTCTTTTTAAAATTCTAATAACAGGAAAAATACATTCAAAATAGAAGTTAACCAGAAAAGAAGAAAATTCTAAATGTGATAAAAAAGGAGAAAAGCGTTGGTTCGCGAATTTGGTGACATAGAAACTCTGAGTTCAATCCCTGTGCAGAGGAGTGTGTACTTGGACTCTGAGCAGTACTAAGAATAAAGACCAGATAAGATATCCCTAGACATGAGCAGTGGAACGAGAACAGTCTACCTCCCTAGATCAAATAAAGGCTTTCAATTCAGAATTCCCTGTTGGTTACCCTGATCGACATGCACCTGATGAAAGCTGAAGGGCACTGCGGCCGAAACGTTTTGATAACAACAACAAAGATGAGGACAACAGTCGGCATGTAAATAGTGTAAAAAAGCTGTCCAAATTTCAGGTTTATTCTGTCGTTTCGACTGTCCCAGTCATTATCTAGAACCATGTGCTGTTAGTGTAATTCCGTTAGCTACATCCTGGTATTTTACGCCTACCTGACATTTTGAATCAATTCAAAGTAACTTCATTTGTAATGATGAAAGCGAGAAAGACTGCACCGGAAAAGAATGTCTCATTATTATTATTATTATTATTATTATTATTATTATTATTATTATTATTATTAAATATTTTATACACATTTCCAGATACTGTTATCCTGTGGTGAACGATATTTTATTTAATGGGAGTTTTTATTTTTATTTTGTATAATAATAACTTCAAGGATTTATGGTTTTTCTTGTCATTGGGTGTTGTATATTATTATCTACTAATATCAGTAATCGCAAAATATGTTTATATTCTTATATCTGCCACGCATGCATCACACTCACTCATAGAGAAAATCCGGAGGCAGTTGTGCAATGCATTTGTTATATGATAAGTGCATATCAAACCTGTATTATTACAATCTGTGCACTAATTTGATTCTAACAATATTATGACAAAAAATAGAGAGATTTTCAATCATAATTGAACCGATTAAGAACGAATGCGCATCTCGGCTTAACCATCATAACATAGATTTCATCTGCTTTTTTTATAAATACTTTCATGGCAATTGTTCTGATGGACGTTTATCTATTGTACATAGAATTTATAGGATGTATGGTTGAGTAATGGATAGCGACTCGGATTGAGTAATCGGAGAGTCGAGTTCGAATTCCAGTCGAATCCATTAGATTCACTAACGTGCTAATAAGATATGAATCCTCTCCTTCTCCCCCAGCTATGGATAAATAGCAAGTCAGACCGGGTTCTATAGCCTTGGATGGCAACTGGTCTACCGCAGAAAGAAATGGCAACCTACTGCGGGAAAAAAATCTGACTCGTCAGTCATGTATTGAAAGATACATAATCGCCTAACCGTGTATCACGCATAGCACATGAATTAAATTAACTAGATTGGCGGCAAGGTCTCATCATTTTTGTTGTGTAGGAACCTACCACCCCTCTTGAAGATGAACTCGTCTACAAACAAGGACGTTAAAGAGTGGCATGTCAAAAGACAGTGTCGGAGAAGTTCTGGGCTGAGTTAGTTATAGACTACTCAGGCGATATCTGTACCAACTTACCAACCGAATAAACCCCATTTTATTGTTACATGTTATTTGGCGTTTGTCTTTATTAACATCATAACAATTTTACAGTTGAAATGGCTAAAAATGTAACCATAAGTTCTATGCTAACGGTTTCTTTGCATTTCTCGCTCGTGAAACTATCTTCCATTCTCTTGTTTTCTAGTTAACTTTGATCTTTAAGAATTTAAATGCAATATCAATCGTTATCTTCATAATTCTTATTCTTTTATTGTTCTCTCTCCTGAACAGAAGTTTTTTTTCTTATATTCTCTAAGACTTAATAATTCCTTGCGTCTTAGTGGCTTTATTGCTTTGCTTGGAGTGAAATGGTTAAAAAGAACGTGAAATAACGAGAATTAACAAAATGGCAAATGCTACCATCTCGGTTTCATTCAACCATCCCGTTGCTCACTTTCCAATCCCGACCGAGTTCAAAAGATTTTAAGCGGCCTTTGGGGTGATGAGTTGTTTTCTACCATTCAACCTTTTTCTTACAGACGGGACTTTGCTAGCCTCTTGCTGCTCTACTGCTCTTCGTGACAGATGTTCGGATGAACTACATTGCTCAGTTCCACCAGTCTAGAGCTTCACAGCTCGGACCAACCATGTCGCGTACACAGAGTCGATTTATCTTCATTGCTTCCATATTCATTCATAAGGAGTAAGTTCCACTCATATAGCTTCTTCCCCAGAACTGTTGCATTATGGGACGGACTCTCGAATGGATACTTCCCTGATCATTACAATCTTAACATCTGCAAATCAAGTGTTAACCGTTATATATCCTACATATCCTCATAATATGGAACCCTTACTGCTTCCCTATACGATATTACAACATCCCATAGCCATCTACCTTGAGTGTCATTTAGGCCTTATATTGCTGGGGCCGACAATAGTGAAATAAATAATGAAGATAACTTGAAAATAAAGATAAGAGTTTGATTTTGATGAAGGAATACGGGAGACATTTTTAGCGGGCAACATTACGTCACCTTGATATAAACAAATCGTTGAGTAAAGGAGGGATATTTTTTATGTTTATTTATTTATTTAGATTTGGTCGTTGATTTTCACGTTTCTTTCGCGACTATTGGATTGAAAGGAAGGTATTAGTTACTGGAACGAACAATTTTTATTGCTTCAGAGTACATGGCGGGAATTAATGAGACTGTGTCTCTTGGAAGGAAAGTTAAGGACGTCCTTTGACGTGCCTTGGCTTCCTACGCTCTTAAGGTGATTCATTTGTTGATGTGTCTCCTGGTATTGACTAAGATTCTATCTGTCTATCTCTCTGTCTATCTGGTTGCTTCTCAATCACACCGACATCACCTGCCACCCATCTCTCTGTATCATTATGTAAGGGTGGGCGTATTTACAGGTGTGTCGAGGATATGATACCCGCATGCATGAGTATATATATATATGTGTGTGTATGTGTGTGTCTTAGTGTGCGTGTGCGTTTACCAATACTTTTCTTCAAGTATGTTTTTCTTTCAATGTCTAATAGTATCATGCGCACTCGCGTACGTATGTATGTATGTTTGCGTAGGTGCGCAAGATACACACATATTGTGCTCTCCTCTCTCTCTCTCTCTCTCTTTCAATATATATATATATATATATATATATATATATATATATATATATATATATATATATATATATATATATATATGTGCGTGGGTGTTAGTGTATGTGTACAAACAAGTTTTGTTAAATTTAACCAAGTCCTGTGTGGCATTTTTTATTGTAATTTTCTAAATTGTAAATAAACTATACGAAGTTGGTCTTTTGTTCTGCTTTGTTCAAGTACTTTTGAAAATCTCAGTCATTGTCAAGAACTGGGTATTGTTAGTGTGATATACAAGATTTTACTACACCCAGCGCTGGAACTGTAGCTCGACTGCGCCAGAAAAGTATTTATCAAATATTTATATACATATTTTTATTATTTTATAAGTATATTAAATATTTTATACGTATTTCAATATACCGTCACTTGTAGCGAAAGATATTTTATTTATTATTGTTTCTTTAGTCGATAATATTAGGTTGTCAGGTACACTCGTTAGTTTTGGGGTTTTTTTAATTTATTATTTAAATCCTATTATCCGTCTTCTTTTTCGGACGTTGGCGATCATGGCCCCCAACAAGTTCTTCCCATTTGTAGCCCTTAATGCTGTCTTTTTGTTTTCTCTCCTAATCCATGTTCTGCTCATGCTCTCTAGGTAGGTTATGCGTTGCTTTCTCTATCTCCCTTTTTTTAAATCATCTCACTCCAAGTTTAAATTCATAATGTCTAAGTACCATAGAAAAAAATGAAAAGTATTTAAAGAAAAGGCACAGGGAAGCTACATTACGGCGGTGGGATAGTGACTGAAGGTGAGATGCCAGGTCAGGACCAATAACACTACAGATTCTTCTTTAGATTTTATCAAGAATCTCTACTAAATATATAACAGAGGCACCAAACCAGATGTGGCAGCAATATTCAAAGTATGGACATATGGAAGGCTTATAAATATGTAAGATAATTTTTTGTCAAGAGAAATTGTCTAGGTCGACACAGTGAATTCTCTTGCCTTCAACTTGTCCTGTGAATATCACATTTTCCAAGCCCTCTTTCCTCATTATGTTACGTAGAAATTTCAACTGCCTGCTTCTGATGTTAAGTAGAAGTGTCCTTTTTGTTTCCATTTTCTCTAAAACTTTGTTATTGCTCACATGTTCAGTCCATGGTATTCTAAACATCCTTCTGTAGAACAATGTTTCTGTTGCTTCAAGTTTCTCCTTCATATGTTGGGAGATTGGCCAGCATTCACTAACATATAAGGCGATGACTGATATTAATTTTAACAAATCATTCAATAATATATTAGCCTCCATTGCAAGCAAACAACACACACACACACACACACACACACATATATATATATATATATATATATATATATATATATATATGTATTTATGTATGTAATTTTCAGTGAAGTGTAAATCGCGTGAAATTACCATCGATAGGCGTTGCACTCTTCCGTGCCCTGGTAGTACCGGAGAGGTATAACTCCGTGATAATAAAACCTGAGGGGTGTTGTTCATTGTGTTCGTAGAAAATATTTGCACCAACACCTTGTTATCACCACTTCCAATAAGTGTGGCTGGTTCTACACAAGCCTTCACCACTCTAAACATATCCTTTGTGTGGATAGTCTGCAGTTCAGTTCTGTGTTCCTTCTTTGCTGTTCCACCTGAGCAACAAATCCACTGGCGAGAGAGAATTAAGGTGACAGGGACAGGTTGAAAACCGAAGTAAAACACTCATACGTCGAAAACGACGGGAGAGTCCATCATATATGTATGTATATACTCTACCGACCAAAAGTTTTGAACTGCATTGATATTTTCCTCTAAACTTGCAAAATGAATCAAGTTTAATGTCCTTAAAGAAATAAATTTATTTTTTCTATGTTTGCATGCAATTATGCAATAATTTAAATCAAAATGAATATAAAATATAATATTATAATTTCAATTAAAGCAAATTTATATTTTCTTTTCATCAAAGAATCCACCACGAGCATTTGTCACGACAAAGCAAATTTTTGACATCCTTTCTAGTAACTTGTAAAAGTATGTTGGTAGAAGTGATTCCCAAGCAGTGTGTAAATGTGTAAAACTTTGCTTACTTATTCTTAAAAAGTTCACTTTGAACTTTACAGTCAATTTCGTCCCAGACTAATTCAATTGGTGAAAGATATGGCGACTGAGTGGGGCAAGTAATGAATTGCAAAATTCCCTTATCTTCCTTTGATTTTAGATAATGTGTACACAGTTTTGAGCTGTGTTTTGGATCATTATCTTGTTGCAAAACAAAATTGTGTCTCGTAATGCGGCAGCCAGAAGGAATTGAATGCCTCTACTGTATTGAATGTTACTCTTCCTTTCGCATAATGCGTTTAATTTGAACAAAGTCTCCAACAATCTCACCTCCAAAACGTCCCTAGGACCACCACCATTCTTCACATTTGGCATAATGCAATTTTCACTCATTTGTTCGGAAGAAATTCGTCTGAAAAACACTCTTTGTTTACTTCCGAAACGCTCAAATTTGAACTCATCACTCTTTAGTACGTTTTTCCAATCTTCTAAAGTCTAATCCTTGTTCTGTTGCTCCCATTTTATTCTTTTCAACTTATTTTTCTTTTTTTAATAGAGGTTTCTTAACTGCTACACATCCATTAAGCCCAACTGAAAGAAGACTTCTATTAACAGTCATAACAAATATTGGATGTTGACGTGTAGAATTAAATTCAGCAGTTAGTTGGGGAGCTGTTGTTTTTTTCTGTTACTAGACACGATCAAATGTCTATCCTCCGCAACAAATGTTACTTTTGGCCTCTCAGATCTTCTTCTGTCAACATTTGAGCCGGTTTTTGCATATGGCTGCAGACAATAATGCATTCCATTTTTATATCTTATTTTCTAACAATCTGACATTCGAAATACCATTCTATAGAAAGAATTTCCACTTGCGCTATTTTTCCATTACAAATCTGTTTAGTTCTTGACATTTTATTGGTTTCTGAAAATAAATCACACATTAATCGAGATAGAATTGGACTTCTACGAAACAGTGGAGTTGAAATATTTTTAATTTTCTACTTGTAGGAATTTTCTTTAAAATTCATATAATGGTTTGCATATATACACAATAGGTGAATTTATTTATCCAAATATGCAAAATTATCAAAAATAATTCAGGGTGATCCCAAACTTTTGATCGGTATATATATATATATATATATATATATATATATATATATATATATATATATATATATATGTATGTATGTATGTATGTATGTATGTATGTATATGTCGTCGTTAGTGGGTTTTGGGTTCCTGGTAGATATATCCTTCTGTGTGAAATGAGTCCTATGTTGAATCTGAATAGACGCATGGTAGAACAGGAGGGTGCAGGGTGGAGACCTCTGGCTTTTCTTTGGGCTCTTTTCGTCTCTTCTACAATATTTGATTTCTGGTGTCTACGAGGGATTTTTTTTTTTTTGTGGACTGCTCTTCTCCAATTGGTTCTTTCTTCAGCTTCCGTCTCCCAATTGACCGGATCGATTTCTGTCTTCAGCAAGGTGTTTTTTGAAATGATCCTTGATGCGAGATCCGAGAAGAGGATTTGTTTGGATAGGGTGGAGAGCCTAGAAACCATCACACACACACACACACACACACACACACACACATATATATATATATATATATATATATATATATATATATATATATATATATATATATATATACGTCTGATTCGTAAAGGCGAACAGGGTCCAGCACCGGGTCCACAAATTCACCACGTTAATTGCGACATATGCGGAAAATTGTGCCTATCTTTTGCCGGCTTCAAAAGCCGTTTGCGTAAATGAGCAAAACCTACTGTGCACCCGAATAATGTCACTGTAAACAAAACTGATTGGGTATGCCAATTCTGTGGCAAAATTTGTTGCAGTTTGGCTGCAACATAGAATTTGAGGGGAGGGAGGAGGGTGAGGACATGAAATAAAGGAGGTGGTCACGCTCGAAACCGAGAGGACATCCACGGATATATATATATATATATATATATATATATATATATATATATATATATATATATATATATATATATATATAATACCTGTGGTGCGTAAACAGAACCCAACAAGAAAGAATATGCTATTACGGACAATAACGCCTTAGTCTCCATCTTAAAACTATTCTGCTTTAATTCTCACATATATCCTAGCATCCTTTTACTTTCTAAATGTTTGAAAATTTCTTTTTTAGGAATTTTTTCTCTCAGAAAAACCAGAAGTTGCAAAGAGCTAAATCATGAAAGTTGTGTAGCTGAAAAACCTGGTACGATGCGATATTTTGCCAAAAAAAAAAAATAAATAAATAAAAACTGTTCCATCTTTTGAAAAGTATCTTTAGTTATTCCATTACGTGTTTGTATTGCGGCGTCACAATTTCCGTCGTCTATTAAAACACTTCACAGATTTCTACATTTTCTTGATTTTGATTCGAATCTCGCATATTGGTCCGTTCTTCTTGAAAAGACCATACATTCTTTTGTCTTACAATTGACTGTTCATCGTTTCTTTTTGTTTTCTTTCCTACCTTGCTTAAGAGATCCTGTTGTTTTGTTTTTCTGTGTATGCCATCGACATGATGTCGTCTGCCATTGACATGGTGTCATCTGCCGATCTTATGTTGATAAGAATGTACCCACTAGTAATATTTTATTTTATTTATTTTTATTATATTTATTAGCAATTTAATATTCATTCATAGTTTCAGTGAAATGCAAGAGAAAAACAAATATGGCCAACGGCCAAAAATTGGGAGAAAGAAGGGATTCTGGTCTTCGTTATCCTGATATTAATTTATCCCGTTGCATTCAAAAGTCCCACAATTTTCATTATTCCTTTCGCCACAATGTTGCACTTAGTTTATATTCATTCAACAATCACCAAAAACAGCCGCATTTCGGCCAAGATTTTCTTTAATAAGCCGAATATTAACACCAATACTAACATTGAAATTACACTGACCCGAACACGAACTTTAACTTTAACTCAAACGTTAAACCTAAGCCAGACGCTGACATAAATCCTTTAAACTAACCCTAAATAATAATCCTGAACCTAAAACTAAAGCTAACCCTAACTTTTCTTGAAATTATTTTTCGCTTATTACTCATCTGTTGTTTTGTCATGTATTGTAGTGTTTGTACTTTTAATTGTGAATGTCCTTTTTATAGACTTTTTCAACATAGCCATGTCACTGGAAGTCGGCTGTAGTTTATCGATTTTTGTTTAGATATTGTCTTGTTTTTATCGATTAAATCCTTTCTAGTAATACTGATCATTCTTTCTAAATCTTATTTAACCCCAAATTTTAAACTAACCCTAAATATAATTCTGGTCCCTGATATATCAGCTGATTTTTAATCATCTAAAAATAAACCAAACCCTAACGCTAAAACAAACTTAGACCAAGCACTAAAGCCTAGTCCCAATATCAAACCCAACCCTAAAGCTAACCTAACCTAACCCTAACATTAAGACAAACATTTCTGCGTTTTGGGTTTTGTTTTTTTTTGGGGGGGGGGTATTTGTTTTTATCAGCTGTTCTAATAATGCTCATTATTCGTCTTAACTTTAAATCATCTTAACCTTAAAACTATCCCTAACCCGGATCCGAACGCGAACCCTAAACTTAAATGTAACCATAAAGGTAACCTTAACCCTAAACTAAAAAACTAAACATAAACTCAACCCTAAGCCTAATCGTAACCCTAAAACTAGCTTGATCCTTGATCTTGACACTAAACTTAACCCTAAACCTATACCTAAAACTGAATAACTTTAAACTTAAAACTAACCCTAACCCTAACACTATCATTTCAGCGAAAGTTTTAGGGAGTTTTTGTCATCTTCTTGTGTTTTTATCATCTGTATTCTTTCTAGTAATAATCTCTCTCTCTCTCTCTCTCTCTCTCTCTCTCATTTGTTCTTTTTTTTCTTAATTTACCCTCTTCCTCTCTGTAAATATGTTTTCATTCTTTTCATATAGATTTGCTCAACGCAACCATGACCTTAGCATTTTTTAAGTAACGTTTTTTCTTTGCTGGTTTTTAATAATACTTTTTAAATGTTGTTTTAACACCAACCCTAAGCCTAGAAACTCACCTAAAATTAATCCTAAATTCTAATCCAAACCCTACACATAAAGCTAACGCTAGTTTAAGCCCTAATTGTAAATCCATAACTATAGTGATAAGGCTATCTTCTAGCCCTATCTTCAACGCATAAACCCAATGCCTAAACCCAAAGCCTAACCTTAAACCTTAACTCAAACTATAAATTTTAACCCTAGCGTTAACAACAGACACTAAACAAAAAGGTAATCTAATATTAACCCAAATCCCTAACCATAAACATGAAAATAATATTACAATTAAACTCTAACTTTAGCCCTAAAACATTACACTCACACAAAACCTTATTTGCAATCCTAACGTTAAGACCTAACCATAACACTAATGATAATTTCAAAACATAACCCTAAGAAAAGTACAAGAAATATGATCCAAGGTTTTGATTTTCTTAACTCATCATCAGGATAAGAAAATCGAAATTCAGACAATTTCTAACGGAATTCCCTTCTTGTCTAAGAAAGATTATTCGTAAATTAGAAAAGTCGATCAGTAACATTAATTGACACAATGTATCTGAATTCTCTGTGAAGTTGTTTGCTTTTCTATCTTAATTTCAAATTTCTATCGAATTATTCTTGAACCATTCCTCTGTTCTTTTGACACGTATTTTATCGTTTCTCGCTGCGATTATGTTTTTTTGTTTTATTATTTATAATTAATTTCTTTAACGCAATCATGATCCTGGTATTACGATTGAAGATTTTCGGACAGTTTTTCTTTGCTTTACTTTTGCATTGTCCATTATTGAATTGATTCTAGCATCTTATTATAAGTATGTTTCTCCCTCCCTTCGTTAGTTCGCTTGACCGTTACTTCCTGTCAATACCTCATAAATAATGGACTATTCCGCGTTTCATGGAAAGAGTGGGAAACGGCATTACTTGGTTTCAGTGAAAAAATGAAAGAAAAAAAGAAGGGACAATAGAAATAGAGAGAGAGAGAGAGAGAGAGAGAGAGAGGATTAAGCCAATAAAAACAGATACTACGTTTTGATCTTAGCCAAAAAGCCGAGATGTAATGGCGACCGCTATAAATGTGTCATTTTTTCCGACGCACTTTATCGAACGGCGAAAACCGAGTAAGGCAATCGCCAAAATTTCAGTTTCCATAAATTAAATTAAATAACATCGTCTGCTGTATTATTTTTAAATTATTATTAAGAGAAAAATTTGTAAGACGGAGATTTGGCTAGAAAGAAAGAAAAATAAAAAAAAGGGAAACTAAAAGTGGTTAATGTCTCCTGCCAATAACTCATAAATAGTGAGCTATTTCGCTTTGATCGCGTGAAAAGAGGGGAAAGACACTACTTAGTTTCAGTGAAAGAATTGAATGAATGAAAAAAGAAAGAAAGAAAAAAAGGAAAGATAGAATTGTTTAACGGCTGTTTCAGTGAAATAGAAAAAGTTGTCATTTTCTACCCAGTTCTTAAAAAAACGATCAACATTCATATTTATAGTTTATGGTAGTTATTGCAATATTTTAGTTAGAGTTAAGCTCAAATATTTCACGATGCGATAGAGAATTTCTACGGATATTTTATTGTCTTAGAACTTGGCCTGAACTTATTCAGTCATTAACGTAAGAGTTAATTAATAAAATTCATCAGAAAATTTAAATGGGAATATTGTGAAATTTTCAGAGGTCTTTTAGTTCCTCATAAATCTTTGTTTATTTAACCCTCACCTTCACCCTAAACCATCCACTACATCTACATGCGAAATATTCTGTAGACATGCTACTTCCTCTCCCAACGATTTCTCTTCATGTTGGTCAGCAGATTTAATTGAATCAAAACTGGAATTGTTCTTTCATGACGGAGACACAATTTAGCCGATAAAGAGTCGAAAGTCATACAAAGATGGCAAGGATATTTTGTCAACTGAAACTTCTATGAAAAAAAATTTTGTTAATAATATGCTTAAAAACATTTATATATATATATATATATATATATATATATATATATATATATATATATATATATATATATATATGAAATTTAACTTATTGTATCAAGCCAAAAGAATATAAAAGGCAGAAAAGAAGAATAGGTTGCATCAATGCTTCAAGTATGGAACACCTGCCTACCTTAAAAATAAACATTTACAGTTGGGGATTTAAATTTTGTTTATTGTCCCTATTTTTTTCTCTTCGCAAACCTGCCCCTTGTCTCTCCCTCTCTCTCATCTTTTAGTTTGTATCACTTTACATTTGCTCCTATCTTTCTGTTTTGTCCTTTTATCTTCCTCTCAGTTTATCTCTATCTATCTATCTATCTATCTATCTATCTATCTATCTATCTATCTATCTAAGTCTGTTCATATCTATCTATTAAAATCTATTCATATCTAAGTGTTTCAGATCTATCTCAGTCTGTTCATCTCTATTTATCTATCAAAATATGTTCAGAATATCTATCTTAATCTCTTCAGATCTATCTATCTATCTATCTGTCTGTCTATCTATCTATCTGTATATATATATATATATATATATATATATATATATATATATATATATATATATATATATATATATTTATCTATCTATCTGTATATCTGTCTATCGATCTATCTATCTATATATATATATATATATATATATATATATATTTATCTATCTATCTGTATATCTATCTATATATATATATATATATATATATATATATATATATATATATATATTTTATCTATCTATCTATCTATGGCTTTCAATAGGCTTCAAAAGATTGATAAATTGTAAAAAACAAATAAGTCAATCTTAGTCTATTCATATCTATCTATCTATCTATCTATCCCAGTCTGTTCCTATCTATCTATCTATCTATCTATCTATATCTATCTATCTATCTATCTATCTTGTCTTTGTGCTCAGGTAACTTCACATGTTTTCTCTTAATCTCTCCCCCCACTGTATATGTACTTCTCTTTCTTTTTAAATATTTCTCCTTTCCTTTTTTTGTCTTCCTTTTCATCTTATCTTCCTTCTATCTTTCTTCCTTTTGTTCTTCACATTTTACCATCTTTTTATTTTTCTTTCAACCTTTTTTTTTTACAATACTCTCTCTTTTTTTCTGATATTCTTACAACGCATTCATTTTAGTCTTTCTTCCTCAATTTTCTTTTTTTTTATTTTTACTCTACGTTTTTTCTACTTACTTTTTTTTTTTCGCCAATCTTTCTCGTTTCCTCGTTTCCTTTTATTCATTTTCATATTTCTTTGTCATTTTTATTTCTCCTGTCTTTTTGTTCCCTTCTTTCTCCCTCTCTTTGTTATCGTCTCCGCTTTTTATACTTTTTAGTCTTTCTTCCTCCCTTCCTAGTTATTTACATTTCTTCTTTTTCCTTTTTCCTTATTCTTTTTCTTTTCTTTTCCTTTCCTTTTCCGACTAGCCCTTTATTATCTTACACCTACTCTTTCATTCTCTCTCTTTTCCGTCTCCCTTTTCTCTCTTCTTCTCTGTCATCCCCTCTTTATGATCACACACTTTCCTTTGTTACATTGAGTGCCCAACATAAAAACCACCTCCTCGACTCCCATTTATTGTTCGCTTTGTCATGCAGTCATTCGGCCACCCACGTCGGTTGAAACATCCGAGAGTGATAGCGCTGTGACAAGAGCGCAACTGCAGTGTAAAAGGTCCGATGTTCAAAACCGCTGAAAATTTCTTTAAAACAATTCAGATCGCTAGAAAATTTACGATAATACTTATTTTGCAGCGAAGCTTGGACAATTTACACATCCTTAGCTTAGAATGGTTCCAGTCTCCGTGCTGCTATTTAACCCGTAGCTGGAGGTAGAAGAGATGGATTTCCCAAAAAGTATTTGAACTCCAAACACGGCCCACCGATGCCTCTTTCCGATTCGTTAACCGCTACATTACGAGCACATCCTCTGCCTCGATATATCATAAAAATAATTAAAAAAAAAAACAACTTTTAAGAGACGCAGAACTTTAAAATGAGAATGGAACAAGGTGAAAAATCCGATAGCCATAAAGCAGCGCAAAAATTACAATTTATTTTGTTCCAATTTAATAATAATTTAGTATGACACAAAATTAGTGCACTCAATCAAAATCAGACAATTGTCTATAGGTCGCATTTTATCACAATTATTTATTGACTGATTTGTTTGGGGGTTTTTTTACGTCTAATCAACATTTTGCAGATTTAAATTTAGAAAATGTTTTTAGATTATAAGATTTGTTTTAAGATGATAATGATTTTACTGATACAATTCATACAAATTAGTCCATATCTGGGGGGTGGGGTAGAAGAGGTGAAATCATACGTTTCCCAAGGTTATCTGCGATCCAGTGAATATATAAAAAAATAAAAACTCTGTTGGAATTTGAGCTTGGTTCTCCGATTAACAATTTCGAGCTCTTATCCATTACACCACCCGCACATCCAAGCTTACATCACCTGGTATTCCTAAGCGGTAATCCATCTAGGTAGTAGGCACGTGCCGTCAGTAATTACTCGGGGTGGGCAGTTTGTGGCCTTTATGTAGGAAACCTATTTTGTATTTTATGCATAATAATCAGAGTCACCTTTATAATTTTGTTAGATTAGGTGCATATTGTGCCATAGAAGGTAAATATAGCTGCAGATATATTTTATTCAGGCAAGGCAATGCCTACACTGCCTACGTAAAAGGTACGCCCCTGCAAGGTACTGAGCAGACTCGATTTTATTAAAATTCATTGATCAAACGTTTCAAGGTGATATGGCCGTAAGATAAGAATAAAGATGAGGACAAAAGTCCGCCTGTAAATAATATAAATAATGATAAAATCTCATCCCAGAAATTCAGGCAAAAAGCGATCAGGTGATAATAACACCAAATATGAGGATAGTAGTCTGCAATGTAAATAATGTAAATAATGATAACTCCCCACCCCAGAAATTCAGACAGAATGTGATCAGGTGATAATAACAACAAAGATGAGGACAATAGTCTGTAATGTAAATAATGATAACTCCTCATCTCAGAAATTCAGGCAGAAGGCGATCAGGTGATAATAACAGCAAAGATGAGGATAACAGTCAGCATGTAAATAATGTAAATTATGTAAATAATGATGACTCCTCATCTCAGAAATCTAATTTAAATAAGTCAGGTTTTTGATCTACATGCCTTAAATTCGAATGTTGTATTGGCGAATAACTCACGTTCGTGAAAGAAGAATATTTTCTTTTTGAAGTGGTAAATATATAGACAAGTAACTCTGTCGGGTGACTTTTATATTTAACCAATTTCAATTCGATCATCTTGAGTAAGTGGTTATTTGCATAAAAACAGCGATAAATAATTAATATATGTTTGCTTAACCCTTAAACGGATTGCATCATCAATTGATGTTTGATTGGCGATCAGCAGTTATTCTCATTTGATGATCTAAACTTTTCACGCTATTATAATAACAACATATCAAGAGGGAAAGCTATGTGTCGATTATGTAAATAAAAGCAATGCATGGGCTCCTGGTATGACGATAAACTACATCCGGCAGCTTGGCCTCTGATAGGGAGATTGGAGGTTTTGAGGAGCGTGGAACCACCTCTTAATTGCTGTTGGTCCTAGGTCCACCTGTTAGGGTCCCACCTATGGGCAAATAGAGAATCCCCCAAACAAAAACAAAACCCTTTGAAAGTATAAAAACAGAATCGGAAAATTGCCAACAATACCCATTTATCGTAGAATGCCAAAAAATACATTTTATCTATAGTTGAAGGCATACGATTGCGTTCAAAATATTTAAATTTCAGGATTAAATAATGCATGGAGGTTGATATATCGCGAACCAAAATCAACCGACCAACTAACCAAACGACCTACACGAAAGAACACTTTCACGATATTAATCCATATAATATCCCACTATTTCTTGAATCAAACTGTAATCCAAAATATAACTTCAACAAAACTACATCACTAACACACATCACCGTCTCTAATATGCACAAATATGTACACTACAGTTCAAAAGTTTGAAGCAACCCCAGAATTAACAGGAGAGGAACTTGACAGAAGAGTGAAAAAATATGAAAAAGATCTCTTAGAGTCATTGAAATAGAATTGAATCAATTATCAAAATTATATTTTGAGAAACTTTTACAACGAATACCAAAATTTTGTACTGCAGTAATCAAGGCAAAAGGAGGATATTTTGACGAGAGCAACATCTGATCGTAAAATTCTTTTTTCATTTAGTCATAATAAAAAATGATGTCTCACTTTTTTTAAACATGCATAATTATCTCTTATTTGAAGTACAAAACAACTACTTTTGGAGACAATTTAAAAAGTTGCCAGGGATTGCCTCAAACTTTTGAACTGTAGTGTATATGCACAAAAGCTGAGCATGACCCATATATATTTTTATTACTTCAAAGCTCCCAAGAAAATCAAATTTGGGCATTAAATGACCCATAAGATGTTGATTTGCCGTTAAATAAATGAATCAATCAATCACCAATGCAATGGCCAACAAATCGTGACGTGATGGCTGATTACTTTGTAAAATTAATAGTTTCCAGACATTTGTTTTATCACAACTGCAGCTAAATCTCATGCCATGGAGGCGTTGAGACCACAAGACCCACCTTGTCCATCCATCTCTCACGGCCTTGGCATGGCGTCGGGACATATTCCAGCGCTAGATTAATCTGCTGGGGGTCTTGGCAGACGACGTCCTTCCAGCGAATGCATGGTCATCCACAAGGTCATCGCCAGTTTGCAGATAGTGAGTCGAACTGGTGGGTCGACACTGGTAGGGTTTTCATCAGGTTATAGCAGTGTGACTTATCCAAGTCTACTGATACCAACGGACTGTGCCTACACGAGTCACGTCTTCTATCCCCCAGCCGCTTTTATATATAAAAATAATAACTATATATATATCATTTCTTGAGCCGGCTTCTAATGCTCTGGACGGAGCGGCTTGGGGATAGAAGTCGTGAGTCGTGGGGGGCACAGTCCGTTGGTATCAGTAGACTTGGTTGAGTCACACGACGGAATTTCTGAAGAGCTGCCGCTATATCATGTCTAGTTTGTTACTTCTTCGCCCCCGACACCTGTTGGTTCAGTAGGTATGATTCTTGCATTATATCGTAACGGTGTGGGTTCGATTGTCGGTAGTGGATGCGCACTACTGATAAGTCCCAAATTAGGACGAAATGGTCGTCCAGTGCTTTCTACATTCTGTTAGTGATTCTTCTAGACAATGAATTAATCACTAATATATAACTGCATTATTTTAATCCTATATCAATTCTTATTAATAAGAAGGTTATTTTTAGTGGATATACGTGTTTCAGTTTTTATCTGTTACTAAAACTCATACCAAGGAAGCGTTGAGTCCACGGGAGCCACGTTGTTTTTCCAGTTCTCACGGTCTTGACAAGCTGTCGGAACATCTTCCAGCGCCAGATTAATCTGCTTGAGGTCCTAGCGGACGACGTCCTTTCAGAGGCTACGTAGTCTACTGCGGGATCGTCACCAGTTTTCAGATGACGTGTCGAACTGGAAGATTATTCTTGTAGCGTTTATTGGATTTCATTTTCATTCCAGATTTCAAGTGAAACTCACATATATGACCCATTCCTAAAGATGGTGGGAAAATGGTCAGCTCATTCTATCGTTCCAGGAACTAACCAACTCCTTTTGCCATGATTTATTTTTATAAGAGAGATATTAAACTATAAATGGAGTATTGCTGCTTATCGCTACTTTTTAGCTATTTCCATGACAAATGTTCAAATATTCTTTAGTTCTATGAGTTCAGACCTTTACAGCTAGGACTCGCTGTACTACTTCTACGGAATTAAATCATTCTAATTTCCCCCATGTTACAAAAGTAACGAGAATGCTCTGCCCGGTTGTGACCCAGGAACTGCTACTTTGAGAAACAAACTCTCGCGTGGGTGCTTCCCTGTACAGTACAATCTTAACCTCTTCAAGTCAAGGGACCATCGTTATATATCCTCCTTATTGTTATAATTTTCAGTTTCTGCCACCCTCACATTCATTTATATCACACACCTCATTCATCATAAAAAAATTTAATAGTAATCCTCTTCCTTGATTGACTCTCAAGCCTTATAGTGAGTGTGTATTTTTGTTTATTGATTCTAACAATGAAAAGGGAAGAGAATAAACGATATTTTCAGTATATTCTTTTCCTACGAGTCGTAGTGTGGCGATCATGGCACACCACAACATCCTATCTTTGTAGCTCTTTGCAACGATTTTCTTTTTACTATCTCGCCTCATCTCCTTTGTTTGTTAGTTACTCAATGTTTTTCTCAATGTCATGTGCGTATCAAATTTTCCAAGCCTTCTTTCTTCGTTATGTCCAAGAAATTTCAATTGTTTCTTTCTGATTGTAAATATAAGCGTCATTTTTACTTCCATTTTCCTTGCAACTACCCACTTACTCGCATGCTCCGCCCCTGGTACTCTCTGCATCCTTCCGTGGAAGTACATCTCTGTTGCTTCAAGACTCCTCTTCATATGTGAGGAAATTGTCCATCAGTCACTGTCATATTGGAAGATTGATATTACATAGCAGTCGAGCACTC